GTGTGTGTGTGTGTGTGTGTGTGTGTGTGAGTGTGTGTGTGTGTGTGTGTGTGTGTAGGTAGGTGTTGTTGTGTGTGTGTGTGTGTGTGTGTGTGTGTAGGTGTGTAGGTGTGTGTGTGTGTGTGTGTGTGTGTAGGGATGTGTTTGGGTGGGTGTTTGATTGCGACAGTGTTGATCTGTTTAATCAGCGTAAGTGTGCTGGTAGGTGGGTGGTAGGTAGAGTTGGATGGAGTGCATGGGCGTAGAAAGAAGTGGTTGTTATGTAGGGTAGGCTTGGTAGTAGGTAGTTTGAATGTATCTGACTTGGCTAGCCCCAACTTTGACTTGAGAACACAACGGCTTCTATCAGATTACAGCGCATGCAGTCGACAAGGCCGACTTTGGGCTTTGCTTCTTCTTTGTGTGTAGACATCGGATGCTCGTTAAAACGCATTGGCGAGTGTGCTATATTTCTCATCAGTGACACGTACGGATTCATAAACGGAATGTCGTTGATGAAGACAGCTACTCACAGAGTGGTGCCGTAGTTCATTTGTCTCTATTTAGACATAACATGCAGCGTGTGCTAGGTGTATGCTATTGATGAGTATGTTTGTACCTGTGGATGGGTGTATATGTCACAGGTTGGACTAAAACAACACTGTCGGGGGGTGTTCGGAGGGCCATCGCAACTACCGGGCTCGTATAGTCAGACCCACAACTTAACTGCAGCGCCATCACGTACTCACAACCTTGTACAATAGCCTTCTGTCTAAGTTAGAAGGTTATGCTTATACCCTGATCCACCATATGGGCGGATTGATAGAGGCCTGTTTCTGTGCTAGAGTCGAGGTTGCTTGAAATCGTTCAGTGTTTTATATGACAGATAAGGGCTGATTAGAACACAACCAGTGCTTTTTCGGACAATGTTAGTGTTCGGGGGTTAGGTTTCAGGGTTCAGGGTTCAGGGTCCAGGGTTCAGCGCCAGTAACACATCCTTCGTATTTCAATCTCAGGTGAAGCTCATCGTAATCGATTCAGTGACCTCTGTCTTCCGAGGCAACAGTGGGAGAGACAGGTGTGTGCGTCTACCAGTCGGTCTGCTGGGACGTGTGTAGGTGTATGTGTCTGTGTGTGCTGCGTGTGGTGCCGGATGAGAGTTAGTAGTGGTTTGATGTGTTCATGGGGTGAAGTGAATTGAAATACTCCGGCGCTGTCCCGACAGATGTAGGTAGTTGCCTTGCACAGGTAGCATCAAGTAGATAAAAACTACTCCGGTACTTACATTGATATATGTCGTATTGTTTCATACCTACAGTTACACCTTTACTACCCTTCTCACCCGCCACTACTTATTCCTGGTGCAGCGGTGGTTCTGGGAGGGCTATAAAAAGGACCGATGGCATCTTCCAGCTCGGCCTAGCATTGAACACTCTCGCCGATCAAATGGGGGTAGCCGTTGTGTGTATCAATCAGGTAGGCAAATGGGGGTAGCCATTGTGTGTATCAATCAGGTAGCTACGACGGTGGGTGGGCAAGCGAGCATATGCCGAACTTTCGTAGTGCAGATAGTGGAGTGAGTGAGTGTATGTCTGTAGTAGGACTCAGGTTGGTGTTTAAACCCGCTAGTAAGGTCAGCGACTGGGATGTAGGTAGGCTGATGGTAGGTAAGGAGTAGGTGGCATGCTATGTGTGTAAACTGACAGTTCAATTGACTGGCAGAGAGATGCGTATGTAAGCACACCCTGTCCTGTGGAGCACAGGACTATAGCACTTTTGATACTTCTGTGCTGTATCTGCGTTTTGGGGGGTGGGGGGTGGTAGGTACATTTATTCTAGAGTTTCGAGTTTTTTGGTGATGTAAAGGGATTGAATAGCGTCTTCATCGACATCATGGTAGATCATGACATCCTGATGGTCACTGATAGATATCACGTTTATATGTACATTCAATGGCACTAGCATAGCACACCATGGTCTCCAGGCTGATTTCACACAGATGACAGAATAGGCATATCTCTATTGCACACACATCGATACACAAAATATTCACATACACAAGTGAGCAATATACTAATACCTTTCATTCGGTACGTATTACCTTTCATTCGGTACGTATTACCTTTCATTCGTACGGTTCGATATACTAACGCCTCTTATTCGTACGTAGTCGTATACTAACGTCTCTCATTCGTACGTTTTGACATGTTAACCCCCTCATTCGTACGTTTTGATATGTTAGCCCCCTCATTCGTACGTAGTCGTATACTAACGACTCCTGTTCGTACGTTTCAACACATGAACACCTCTCATTCTTACGTTTCAATATAGTAACACCTTTCATTTCGTACGGTTCAATATACAAAAGGTTACCGCCGCAATCAGTGATGGCGACACATTCAGCGCCTCCAACCCCTTCGATGATGCCAACAGATCAAAACCAGGTGTGTGTTAAACCCTAAAACCAGGTGTATGTTAAAGCCTTAAAACCAGATGCGTGTTAAAACCCTGAAACCAGGGGTGTGTTAAAACCCTAAAACCAGGTGTGTGTTAAAGCCTTAAAACCAGGTGCGTGTTAAAACCCTGAAACCAGGTGTGTGTTAAAACCCTAAAACCAGGTGTGTGTTAAAACCCTAAAACCAGGTGTGTGTTAAACCCCTAAACCAGGTGTGTGTGTGTGGGAATCATCTCGTTGTGTTGTTTGCGAAGTCGGATTAAAGTTGAACACCTACATCGACCAGCTTACAGTGATCCAAAGTTTGCGGCGATTTGGAGGTGATTTCAGACTAGTTGTGATAGTGTTTCTAACTAGAAGTTATCTACCTTATAAAACGCCGACTTTTTGCATAATTTTGGAACGATTTCATAAAATCCTGGTTCTAGCCTAGCCCAGTCTCGCCTCACTATATATTCGACTATTCTACTGACCCCACTCTGGTGTACGCCAGCCGGGGCTCGCTATATCATGAACACACACTCAACACTCACCTCTACCAATCTCCGAGCGCCCGTCAGCCGGAACTAGTCACTGCCGCACGTTATACGACAGCTTATGTCTGACGTCTAGAAAGGCCTGTGTACCACACCTCACGTACACACCATCACGACCCAATCAGTATCAAGCAAATATTCATGACTCACCCCTCATATCTTGTACCATTCCCATTCACATCTCAGTATCAAGCAAACACTCATGACTTACCCCTCATATCTTGTACCATTCCCGTGCACATCACATCTGCAGCCTTGGGATTGTTGTGGTCGCACATGATTCGGCAGCGCATTGTGTTGTCGCGTCGAGACCGCGGCACACGCTCCTACCTGCCGCTACTGCCCAGATACGACATACAGCTAGCGGATAGCACACGCACACAAACACGGGTACACATACCCACACCCACACCCACACACCCACACGCACGTTCGATAGAGCTCCACCGCACACCATCCGGTTCTGCGGAAACATCCGCAGACGACTCGCAGTATACGGGTGGGATTGTGGGGTGTCCGCTGAGTCCGACACTCTCCGTTAGTGCACCCGTTTCCAGCCAAGCGGATGCAGAGGTTTGTCCTCCGGATAGCCGTGTCAATATCAGAGACGCACAGGTGGTGCTTGCGCCGCATTTGGCGATGGGCAGAGCCGAGTTCGTTATATCGCATGAGGGCATACACGGGTATGTGTGCACCCCCGATCAAACATAGGGCAACACGTGATATGAGGGGATTGGTGGTGTCCTATACTATGGATACTCATGCACCAATGGCTTGTAAATGAAGCCCCAGATGTGCTATGTATCAAGCAAACGGCAGGCAGTTGAGAGGTGTACCGAATATCTGCCTAACGGCTGCGACAGGGTAAAATGTTGGTAATGGATGCTTGAGTAAATAGTAACCCTCAAACAAACGGGGCACAAACGCCGGACATGGTCTAGGACACATCTCATGAGTCACAGGGCTTGAAGATGGTGTATTACACTGCGAGCGCACCATAAGCAGGCCAGCAATACACACGGCAAGAGGATCGAAGACACGGTTCGTAGCGACGCATACGTATGTAGTGACTCCATACGTATGTGGCATATCAGGATTAGACACACCGCGTGAAAGGACTCTGGACATAAACGTATGTATGACATATGACGATTGCACACACAGTGTAATATGCACACACTCGTCAAACAAACGCGGCAATAACGGGGCGCACAACGACTCGCGTAGTATGCTGGGATCGAGTGATGATCGATTATGTGGCGGGAAAGGACATGACATAAGACATGTGATACACACTTCCATGACATATGGCGATTGCATACGTAGTGCACTACAGACAGGTACGGGCCAACAGAAGTATCGACTACTTGGCACACATAGCGACTACACACTTAGTGTATTGGAGATAGACATCGGCAACGGAAACGCCAGCGACGTGGGTCTCAACAAACATGTGCATCCGAATTTGTAACTACAACCTATAGATATATATCAGGCACAGTCATAGAGCAGAACCGTTCGAAGGTGACGATAACTGTGCTTACCTCTACAGAGCATAACGTGCTAAGCTAAAACATAAAAATAACATTATCTTTAAATTCAAGTAAACGTTTTCTATCTCTTTATTGATCTTTCTTATGCACTTAATAAAAATTAAGTGCATAAGAAAGATCCCAAACTTGAACATTAGGCTTCCGAAGGCTTTTGAGTTTCTATACATGCAGAGGCGGGAATACAGACCCAAATTATATCTTTATTTCCATATTTCCAGGGAAATTCCACGATGGGCACATATTTGAAGTCTTGACCCATTAATATGGAAAGTACAGTCGGTTGTTTGACTATTATCCAACATTTTTAGAATGAGAATAGGAGTAAAATTCTTCTGGTATGTATAAGAACAAGAGAAAGCATACAATAATTTTGAAAAAAAATTTACATACACACATGTATATATTTAGAAAAAACCCGCAAATCTGAAATCCCCGATGGCTCAAAGACCTAAGTCTCTAACTGGCAATTTTAATTTGGCAAACTCTTATAAATCAGTATTCAACTATTAATGCCATAGGAAGAAGTAATCATTGGTCTCTAATATTACTCTTAGCTCTTGAGAGGAAGTCGTTCAGCAGTGAAGTCCAATGCATCCATACTCCTATGTAGCCATATACTCTCGGGGGAAAAATAAAATACTCTGAAGTTCTGAGATATGTATTTTAAAATACAAACGAGATTCAGCTTCAATAGGCTGTAGAGTAATCTTTAAAGTATAGAGTATGTATAGCCTAATTTAGTGTTTGGCGGTTGGCGGTCGATTGTTGTACTTTATGCATTTGGTCATAGACTCATAGCCTCTCCTAATTCAAAATTGAGATAGGGCGACACGTGATGTGAGGGGCTTGAATGTGTCCAGTAATATGAATACTCATGCATCAATGGCGTGTGAGTGAAGCTTCAGATGTGCTATGTACCAAGGGAACGACAAGCAATTGAGAGGTGTAATGTGGCGGGAAAGGACATCACATACGACACATGACACACACTTCCACGACATATGGCGACTACATACGCAGTGTACTACAGGCAGGCACTGGCCAACAGTATCGACAACTTGGCGCACACAGCAACTACACACGTAGTGTATTGAAGTTAGACATGGACAACGGAAACACCAGCGACGTGGATCTCAACAAACAGCATGTCCATCCGAATTTGTATCTACAACCTATAGACATATACCAGGCACAGTCATAGAGCAGGACCATTTGAAGGTGACGATAACTATGGATACCTCTACAGAGCATAACGTGCTAAATTGAAACATAAAAAAAGAATGACATTATATAGTTTAAAAAGTCCGATTTGTAAAATTTAAATATGTTCTCTTTTTCTTTATTATCCTTTCTTATGCACGTACTTTGGACCTAATTTTTGGACCTGTTGGAATGTATTTGTCTACTAACCTGAACAGTTCAGGCGTTTGTAATGAATTGATCACGTATACCGAGCCATCCTTTAATCGTAGTGCAAGATAGTTGGTGCGCTTCCGCTTGCGTAACGGCGTGGATGTTTCATCTGTGTGCACATGATCAATGTCAGCCATCTCGGACCAACTTATCCTGTACTGCAAACTCCCGTCGTCATTCGACAAGATAACCACTCCATACTCATCGGCACTAACGAGGATGGCCGAACGGCGCTGGACCTTGACAGAGTAGCCTCCCACTGCTTTCCTACTCCTCGCAATGCCCGCTACACAGTATCCTCTGTAGCCAGAATAGAACGTTAGTGTGTCCATTAGAACCTTGGGATCTATCTCTGGGCCACGAATATCCACGGTTGACCTGAACATTTCCTCTTGTGTTTGTGACGTAGTGCTGTCAATTCTTGCATGAGAGAAAGAACCGAATGAATCGGTGGTGCCGTCTTCACTTCCCAGACTATCTATGCTGATTGCATTGGAGTGATAAACTGGTCTAAGTATCGACTTATTAAGTTTGTGGGATCGCTTAATCAGGTCCTTTAGCGGATTCCCGTAAGTGTGGTATTGTTGGCCAACTTGGTTAATCATAATGTGTGATGAATTCAAAATTGCGATTGTAAACAAAGTGGGGTCTGTACCCTATATATATATACAGCATCCCAAACGTGAACACTAGGCTACCCAAAGCTTTTGAGATCCTAAATACATATCCTAATTTTATGTATATTTACATATTTCCACAAACAATGGGCACAATTTGATACTTTGAGTCTTGAGTCTTGGCCCATACGGTCAGTACAGTCGTTTTTTATTTATTGGACACTGTATTATCCGACTCTTTTTTTATAATTTCTCTAGAATGAGAACAGGAGTAAAAACTTTCTGTACTGATACATATTACATAATATTTAGTAAATATAATGTCAATACTGAATACACAAGTGTTGTTTTCTTAAAATAAATTGTTTGATTCCATATTTGGTTTTAAAAAATATTACATTTATATATGTAGTCACTAGGACAAAAATATATTGCCATAGAAAAGGATTTTCATTGGTCTATTTAGTCAACTCATAACTGTTGAGAAGAAATCGATCAGTTGTGAAGACCAAATTGTCCAATACAATATCCATCAATTGTAGCCATCATTTTCTATTAAAAAGGCATAAGCTCTGGGAAAGAAACAAGGTCAAGAAGGAGGCCATTTGAAAAACACTTTATAAAAAAAATAGTCAGGGTACATACGGGGCGATTACGATATTGGCAGTTTTAAACTTTTATTGGCTTTTTATTTAAACCACTTTCGAGGAAGAACTTTGTTAGACTGTCAATTACAAGAGCTTGGAATAAGTACTTTTTAAATAACTAAATATTATGAATGACCAATCAAGGTATGGCTATTTTAGTATATATTACGTATCTAATGTCAATACGTTTTTGATTTCAGAAGGCTTGGCGAAATGCCTTCGGAAGCCCAATGTTCAAGTTTGGGATGCTGTGTATATATCTGTGTATATATATAGGGTACAGACCCCACTTTGATTACAATCGCAATTTTGAATTCATCACACATTATGATTAACCAAGTTGGCCAACAATACCACACTAACGGGAATCCGCTAAGGGACCTGATTAAGCGATCCCACAAACTTAATAAGTCGATACTTAGACCAGTTTATCACTCCAATGCAATCAGCATAGATAGTCTGGGAAGTGAAGACGGTACCACTGATTCATTCGGTTCTTTGTCTCATGCAAAGTATTGACAGCACTATGTCACAAACACAAGAGGAAATGTACAGGTCAACCGTGGATATTCGTGGCCCAGAGGTAGATCCCAAGGTTCTAATGGACACACTAACGTTCTATTCTGGCTACAGAGGATACTGTGTAGCGGGCATTAGGAGGAGTAGGAAAGCAGTGGGAGGCTACTCTGTCAAGGTCCAGCGCCGTTCGGCCATCCTCGTTAGTGCCGATGAGTATGGAGTGGTTATCTTGTCGAATGACGACGGAAATGCTCTAGGTCTGGGTTTGCTATATATCTGTAGGATGTAGATACGAGTTCGGATGCGCATAGCGGCTTCTTGTCTTCTCATGTACTATTATCATTTGTTTTAGGGTTTTAGGGTTTATAAATTATGCAACAAGGTCCTCCAGGTCCCATACCCTGGGCACTGGCAATGCAACCGTCTACGAAATCCAGCACATAACACGGGTTCCCAGAATTGTACTGTACACCTCCGAATACTAGACCAGTGTCTGTTTATAATAGAGAGCACAAGTATACAGTACACACTACCGCAATTGAACAGTGTACCACTTCTAGTATCAGACCAGTGCCTATGTGTTCCAGCAGCGGGACTCGTTCATCTGTTGGTTATACCACCTTTTCGACACCTCGGATTCGTTTTAGTCTGTAACTGGCGACACAAGTCCAATGTCCGCGATATACGCGTCCAAAAGCTACAAAGCATTTGATGGTGGGTAGGAATACACTCCGATAACTCAGCCGCAGGTTCGAATAGTCATCAGTTGATACCATACCTTCATACTGAAGCCACGCCAGCTTTACTTAAGTTCCGGAATCGCAAGTTCGCCAACTGGCAAAAACAAAGCCAGCTACACACTACGAAGCCTTCTTGATTATTCAGAGTCTTGTCAGGGTGGGGTAGGTAAACAGGGCCGGCCCTATTAACCATTTTGAGGACAGGTCTGAATTCTCGCAAAGAATATTTGTAATATGTATATGTATATATATATATACATATATATATATATATATATATACATACATACATACATAC